CTGTTACTCAATGAGATCCTTGTCCTTTTATTCAGACAAAAATTGTATTAGTATCATATGAAGGATACTCTGGTTTCCATTTCTGTAGTATCTTTCAAGTATTCTTGTTTGCAAGGAGCAGTGTCACAGTTCACAGCCCTAAAAAAAGAGCTATCCCTCTCTCTGTTTCACACAGGCCCTTTCTTTCTAGTTGGCTCTCCAGCTACACCAGAACTATTTTCAGTATTATGGATTTGCTGAGGATGGGATTTTATTTCTGTTTTCAATTTAGTACAATTTTCCCTAAGTTCTTAGTATTTTTTAATTATTTGAGCAAAAATGTCTTTAAAGATAAATTTTCAATTCTGCTCTCAAGTTACTGCTACCCATAAAAAAATCTAATTGTCATAGAACCATAGAATCACAGAATGGTTTGTGTTGGAAGGGACCTTAAAGATCTAGTTCCAACCCCCCTGCAATGGCCAGGACACCTTCTACTAGACCAGGTTGCTCAAAGCCCCATTCAGCCTGGCTTTGAACACTTCCAGGCATCCACAACTTCTCTGGGCAACCTATTCCAGTGCCTCACCACCCTCATAGTGAAGAATTTCTTCCTTATATCTAATCTGTACCCCTTGTCCTATCACTACACGCCCTTGCAAAAAGTCCCTCTCCACCTTCCTTGCAGGCTCCCTTCATGTACTGGAAGGCTGCAGTAAGGTGTCCCTGGAGCCTTCTCTCCACCAGGCTGAACAACCCCAACTCTCTCAGCCTGTCCTCACAGGGGAGGTGCTCCAGCCCTCTGATCATCTTTGTGGCCCTCCTCTGGACCCACTCCAACAGGTCCATGTCCTTCTTACGTTGAGGGCCCCAGAGCTGAATGCCGAACTCCAAGTGGGGTCTCAGGAGAGCAGAGTAGAGGGGGAGAATCACCTCCTTCAACCTGCTGGTCATGCTTCTTTAGATGTAGCCCAGGATACAAGTGGCTTTCTGGGCTGCAAGCACACGCTGCTGGGTCATAGAATCATAGAATCACTTTGCTTGGAAAAGACCTTTGAGATCATCGAGTCCAACCTTTAACCTAACCCTGCCATCCCACCACTAAACCTTGTCCCTAAGCACCTCATCTATCCTTCTTTTAAATACCTCCAGGTATGAGGCCTGTACCCCCGCTCTGAGCAGCCCATTCCAGAGCCTGACAACCCTTTCAGTGAAGAAGTTTTTCCTAATGTCTAGCTTCTCATCAGCCAACACTCCCACGTCCTTCTCTGCAGGGCTGCTCTCAATCCATTCTCCACCCAGTCTGTATTTGTGCTTGGGATTGCCCCAAACCATGTGCAGGCCCTTGTTGAACTTCATGAAGTTCGCACAGGCCCACCTCTCAAGCCTGTCAAGGTCCCTCTGGATGGCATCCCTTCCCTTCAGCGTGTCAACCGCACAGCTTGGTGTTGTCAACAAACTTGCTGAGGGTGCACTCAATCCCACTGTCTGTGTTGCCGACAAAGATGTTAAACAGCACCGGTCCCCATACTGACCCCTGAGGAACACTCGTCACTAGTTTCCACTTGGACATTGAGCCATTGACCACAACTCTTTGAGTGCAACCATCCAGCCGACTCTTTATCCACTGAGCAGTCCATCCATCAAATCCACGTCTCTCCAATTATAGAGAAAAGGACATGTGGGACAGTGTCAAACGCTTTGCACAGATCTAGGTAGATGATGTCAGTTGCTTTTCCCTTATCCACCAATGCTGTAACTCTGTCGTGGACAGCCACCAAACTTGTCAGGCACAATTTGCCCTTAGTGAAACCATGTTGGCTGTCACCAATCATGTCCTTATTTTCCACGTGCCTTAGCATAGTTTCCAGGAGGATCTGCTCCATGACCTTGCTGGGCACAGAGGTGAGACTGACTGGCCTCTAGTTCCCCAGGTCTTCCTTTCTTCCCCTTTTAAAATGGGGCTTATGTCTCCCCTTTTCCAGTCGGTGAGAACTTCACCGGATTGCTGCAACTCAAATATAGTGGCTTAGCAACTTCATTGCCAGTGCCCTCAAGACCCACAGATGCATCTCATCAGGTCCCATGGACTTGTGCACCTTCAGGTTCTTTATATGGTCTTGAACCTTCTCCTATAGTGGGTGGTTCTTCATTCTCCCAGTTCCTGCCTTTGCCTTCTGTGACTTGGGTGGTGTGGCTTGAGCACTTGCCGGTGAAGACTGAGGCAAAAAGTCTTCTCCAAATCCCGGCTAACCAGGTCTTCCGTTTCCTTCCGGAGAGGGATCAGATTTTCCCTAGTCTAAGGTCTGCTACCGGAGGGATCTACACTGTGTATAGGTAGGCAGGTATGTACGCGTGTGTGTATACATACATATATATATAATTTCCCCCTAACAGACTTCCATCCTGAGCAGCCAGTGAGGGGAACAGAAGGAGACCTTTGGTGCCGTTTGTGCCTGTGTGAGCGCTGAGCATGCCTGCCCACGTTGCTCTGTGTGGTTTGCCATACATCCATGCATACGTGTTGCATAGTGTATGTGCCTGTGCCTGTTGGCAATACAGGCTCAGCCCCACTGCTGGCGGCAGCTGGGGCATGCAGCTGTGACAGCCAGATTTGGCAACCCCTAACACAACCCATGAGACATATGGGCCATGAGATAGATGTCAAGAGACCCGATTATTCAATGCAAACTGCTATTTCAATGACTGGATATATTTTTAAATGATACAGTACATACTTTATTTTCCTACTAGCCAGCTGAGAAAACGCATAGCACCACATTATTTGCAAGTTATTGGGAATAAATCCGAGGTTTTATGTTGAACTTTTTCTACTCTCTTAAAAGGCCAAACAGGGGATACCTTAAGATTTGCATCAAATCAGATGATGGTGATAGTTCCTTCTGAACGAAAAAAAAAAAAGATTATATCTCCTCTCTGCTAAATACTTCATTCACAAACTACGGGAGCAGGGGAGGTGGAGTGTTAAACATGGCTCCTACAATGCAAAACCTGCCTGTGAAGCCTAGTTCATTTAACCCTGCCGTTATAGAATCACAGAATCATTTAGGTTGGAAAAGACCTTTAAGATCATCAAGTCCAACCGTTAGGT